GCCCTGGACGTGTACCTGCCCGCGGCCCCGGCCGGAGGTGAGGGGCAAGGGCGGGCCAGGGTCGGGGTCGGGGGCGGGGCCGGGCCTTGGGCCCACCCCTGCCCTTCCTCGCAGCCTTCCCACTCGTGCTGTACGTCCACGGCGGATACTGGCAGTTTCTAAGGTGAGACGGGGCCGTTCTGGGAAAGACCCCCCGGCCCCGGCTCTGCGGCTCCGGGCACAGCGGGCATCTGAGAGGCCGAGAGCGCCCTGCCTGCAGCCTCAGCCTGGCAGCCCCGTTCAGGGAGCCGTGCAGGATACCCTGGTCTGTGCCCCGCACGGCTCACCCCCGTCTCCCTTCCTAGCAAGGAGGAGTCCGGCTTTGCCGCGCCCCCGCTGCTGTCCCGGGGCATCGCGCTGGTGGCCGTGGGGTACGACGTGGCTCCACGAGGTAGGAGGAGATGGCGGTAATGCCCCGGCCCGCGGCCTGGCCTGCCTTTCCTCACTGCACGCTCTCTACCCAGGCAACATGGATGTGATGGTGGCCCAGGTGCGGCGCAGCGTGGCCTGCATCGTGCGCCAGTACCCCACGACCAGGTGGGACCGCGTGTGCGGGGCGCCCTCTGAGCCAGTGTAGTGCAGTGCAGTCCAGTGCCTGCTGCTGCATTTCGACCCCCAGTGCAGTGCAGCCCAGTGCCGTGGGGGAGATCACCGTGGGCTATGGCCTCCAAGGCCCATGGTGCTGGAGACATTTTAGGGAAGTCCGGGTCTCGTGGCAGTGACTGGCGGTGGGAAGGGCCCTGATGATGGGTGCTGGGGGCAGCTCCCGCAGGGCCAGGCCTGCTGCTTTCCCCTTGGTGAAGGGTGGGGAGGGGGGTCAATGGGACCTCTCCAGCCCCATTGGCGCAGAGCTGGTGCCGTGCTGTACCGCTCCGGGGCTGGATCCCGCTCTGAACAGGGAACCCCACAGCAGGGCACGTAGACCCCCTGCCCCAGCTCACGGCTCCTTCTCTCTGCTGCTGCCCCGTCTAGCGGAGTTTACCTGTGCGGACACTCGGCGGGGGCCCACCTGGCAGCCATGGTGCTCGCCACGGACTGGCAGGAGTACAGAGTGGCACCCGACATCAAAGGTAGCTCCTGCCAGGCTCCCCAGGGACCAGTCCCTGCCCTGCCCAGCCATCGGATGGGTACATGCAGGCAGGGGCCTGCTCCCGAGGTGCAGTGCGCTGCAGCCCCCTGGGCTTGTGTGACCTGTCGGTCTGCTCCGAGGGTGTGCCCGGGTTACTGATTTGCCCAGAAATCATGAGTGGCCTCAGGCACATGGTAAAGGAGCAGAGAAACAGCAGGGTTTGTTGTGAGGAAGAAGTGGGCTAATGAAAGGAACAGATGCTGGGAGCAGGGTCAAACATGACGGGCCTGGTCCTTGCCCCACACGCCGACTGCCACCTCACCCTCAGAAACCTTCCTGTGACAGTCTCCCGGGGCCACCATCCCCTCTGTCATAGCCAGGGGCCTCCGTGCCCCCTCCTCTGGCCACCCCAGCACTCACGGCCTCCCGCGCAGTGCACCTACCCTCACGGGAGCGGGGAATCCTTTCCAGCGTTTCTGCCTGTGCATCCATGTCGGATTAGGACCGCAGTGTTGGACTGCTGAGGGGGGGAGGGCGCAGCGCATGGGCACTGAATACGAGCAAGGTGGTGTCACTGCCAGCATGGGCAGGCCACCCCTTCCTCCTGGCATGTGCCCATGGTGTCCTGCAGTGCTTGCTGGCACCGCCCAGCTGGGACCCTGCACGGCCCATGTCTCTGCCTGCCCTGGCAGCCTCCGAGAGACAGGGGCTGCAGGCAAGGTGGGGTGCTGCGAGCAGGCAAGGCTCAGCAATAGGGGTGCTCTCACTTCCCAGGAGCCTTTCTGGTGAGCGGCATCTATGACCTGGAGCCCATCGTGAGCACCTACGTGAACGACGCACTGCGCATGACCCCGTGAGTGCTTGGGGGTCCTGGCCAGGCGGGCTCCACAACACACTTCTGCCTGCACGTGTGCGCCTGCACGTGCCCATGCGTGATGTGCAGCCCACTCCTGCTCTGCCCGTGTTCGTGCTCTGGCTGCAGTGCACAATGGACATGTGTGGTGCATCAGGTGCCAGCGCGCACACCCGTTGCACACCCAGACTGGGCCTGCCCTGCTGCTTACATATCTTCCATGCATGTACGCAGGCCGTGGGGGTGTGTGGTGACCAGTGTGCACATGAAGCTGGGCTTCTCCTTGCCCCATGGCAGGGCCCCCTCTCCCCACAGTCCCAGGACTGCTGGGTACTGTCTCTCTCCCCAGAGAGGTTGCCCAGAGGAACAGTCCCCTGCTGCACGTGGCCGCAGCGACGCCTGCAACAGAGGCCTGCGAGGTGCTGGTTGCTGTGGCCCAGCATGACTCCCCTGAGTTCCACCGGCAGTCCCGCCAGTACTTCCAGGTGCTGCGCCTGGCCTTCCTGCCCCCCCACCCTCCGCTGCTTCCTGCCCCGGGCACCAGCAACCGGCCCTTGGAACAGAGCCCAGTCACACCCAGTGCCCGTGTGGGGGATCGAGGCGCGCTTCTCCCTAGCCTTCCCAAGCCAAGCTGGTTCTGCCTGGGTGAGGGCACGGAGTGTGATGCTGGGCAGCCTGGAGCATCAGTCCCTGTTGAGCTGTGAGCTCCCCTGGCAGAGCTGGTGCCTGGGGGCAGCTGCCAGCCTCAGCACTGCTCTCCCTCCAGGCCTTGCGCTCGGCAGGCTGGAAGGTGTCTCTGCTGGACGTGGCCCACACAGATCACTTCGATGTGGTTGAGAAGCTGTCCCAGGAGGGCTACATCCTGACCCAGGTAAGGGGTCATGCCTCCTGGACACTTGGCCAGGGAAGAGGGTCCCCTGCTTCCTGCTAAAGACGCTGCCTTCGGGCCAGCGGTCTGCTCATGCCACCTGCATCGTGTGCGCGGTGAGCTCTGGACCGGGGCTGAGGGGCCACCCGGTGCTGGCAAAGCTGGCGAGGAGCAGCTGTGGTCTCCGTGCCCATGAGCAGGGCCCTGGTGCAGCACGGGGGGCTCGGCTGCCCGCTGCAATGGGGCTGTTGTTCCTCTGCAGGTGATTCTGAGCGCGATTGCCAGAGCCTGATGGGAGCCTGCAGCTCCGGCCATGCAACCGGCTCTCCATGCCCTGCCTGGCTCCCCCCGCGCCGTCGGGGGGCAGGGTCCCTGCTGCTCGGAGCAGGCCCCTGCCTCCTGTCCCCCCCGCACTTTCCACCTCTGCCCCGGGGCTGCCTGGAGCAGGAGCGCCGGCTCGGTGGACCCCAGCCCCTTGCCCCGGAGCCTCCTGGTCCTGGGTGTTGCTGCGCTTGCGGGGACGCTGCCCTGTTGCCGCCGGAGCCTGGACGGACAGGACAGTCCGGCGGCTGTCGGGGCTGCCTCGTCCCGGCGGGCTTGTTCCATCACAGTTTCCTTTAAACTTCTCTTATTGCGAGCATTAAATAAAATCTGGGCAGGAGGAACAGCTGCTGCTCTCCCGTAAATCTCCTTCCCAAGGAACAGCCGCCTCATCCATCCAGGAGGGCGGACAGGGCAGACTGCTGCATCCATCACCTGCCTCCCGCTGCCTCCCTCCCCTCCAGGCCTGTCCGTGGAGCGAGGAGAGATCTCCCGGGCTGGCGGCAGGAGCTGCGCACATGTCACCTGTCGCAGATCCCCAGCCCCCGCGGCGCGCAGGGCAGAGCCGCCCCTCGCTGGCTGCCGCTTGCAGCTCAGCTCTGCCCCTCGGGGCGCGCGGGGTCTGGCCAGGGCGAGGGGAGCAGTCAGTGCCCCTGGGGAAGGGCTTCCTGCAGCCGGGCCAGCCCGGGGGTGTTCCCCGGCGGAGCGCCGCTGGGGGCTCTGCCCGGCCCCCGCGGAGCAGAG